TGGTTATTTCTTTATCAATATATACAAAAATAATCAAATTTTTCCGTGCAGTGTAGCCATAGGTTAGGTTCTGTGGTATAAGTAGCCTTCCTCTCACTCAATGGTACTGTGGCCATAGTGTACAATTTAATGAAATAAAACAACATTATCAAAGTCACCCGTCATTATCAATGTCACCCCAATTTACGGTAATTAATATTTTTTCTTTCTTTTTCACTCACTCACGTGTACCATTCAAAAGAAGTTTAACTTCCCGCGCGCGTACGCCGTACTGGTAACACACATACTTTTTATATTTTTTGATTACAGAATTAACTACTTACGAATGGAAGCTTCTTTTAAATTGTTAATCCTTAGATATGATAGTTTTTATAAATTTTTAACTACAAAATCATTTTTAATTGGATACATTTTGTCAAAATTTGAGTCTTGAACATATATACATATATATTCAAATATTATTTTTTTTGAAATGTGGTTTTTACAGAACTGTTCCGAGTAGCAAAACTATTTACTAGTGCTGTGGCCACCACTCAAACCCCGGAAACCAAACCGGCAGTTGCTGTCAATAATGAATCAATTATTGTGCCGGGGTTCCCAAAACTTAATGGCCAACCCCAGCCGAATCCGTTCGACGGTCCTGAACGTGATCTAATTAATTATCTTAGAACGGTGATGTTAAAATTGTCCGTGCCCGAAAAGTGGTGTGAAATATTTTACGAAGAGACTGAAGTCACAGGTAATGATACAGAACTTTACCCCATTACCTAGATGTTGTACATTTTTCCCTACAGTATTTTTGCATACTCATAACTTATTTTAAGTTAAACTATTTTAAAAATCCAACGTACGTAGTGGCGTATTTTGAAATTTTTTGTGGGGGGGTCTAAATATTAGGTACCTACAAGTTTATAATATAAAAAAAACACATACGAGTTACGATGTAATAATTATATTATATTATATTTTTTTCTGGGGGGGGGGGGTCCAGACCTGGGACCCCCCCCCGTAAATACACCACTGAACGTACGAACACTGATAATAATAAAATATGATTTTTAAGTTAGTGATCAGGTACTTATTAGATCAATTAACAATCCACACTAACTTAAATGCTAAAAATATATAAATTGGATATTTGGATCTGCTGAACACAAATTAACTAAGTAGGTACCTACCTAATACAAAGGTCAAAGATAACACAATGCGGGTAATGGGTGTGACGTCCTCTATTAACAAATAATATGAGAAAACAATTTTTTTGTGAAGAAACTGTCCTATTTTATCTTGATATTATGGTAGACAAAATATAATAGTTGTAAAATAATTACAATTATTAAAAATCGTAGCCTATAATATTATGAAAAAAAAAATTTACAAGTAGATAATCACTGATTTACAGTATGTGTTCAGTATTTTATTTTTGGGTTTTCCCAATTGTTAAGAAAAGTAGTAAGATTTTTTTTTTGACGTCAAACCCCACGCCCTTAAAAAAATAGTACTAGATCAAAGTCATATTATGTACTTAAAACTTAATTATTATTTGTGTAACTGAAATATAATAAAGACTTTTAAACTGTAAGACTTGTGGACAATTTTCCTCTGATTTGTTTTTACTTAATTTCTGCAGGTATTTAAATATAATTCTAATTTTTAAATAATAATATTATTATTTCTGCATTATTATCTCTTACAAATTTGTATTTAATCATTAAAACATTTTCTGTGCATCATTTTTGATTGCATGAAAAAACAAATTAGGTAACTAAAAAAAAAAAAAACCTAGGTACGATTATTAATTTACACATATTCTATACCATAATATCACATATTGTACAAAACAGTTTAATATAATCTGTGATAATATATTCAATGACACTGATAGGTACAGAAAGTTTATTACTTAAAGTTGACCAAATTATAATCAATTAAAAAATTGAGCTAGCAAACCTGATGATACAAATAAGCGTCGTGGGCAATATAAGTGTTAGATAGACATTGTAGAATAATATAGTTAGTGCCATAGCGCCGTATGTATATGCATATGCCATACCTATATGTACCGATACCTACACATCATTTTGACTGCGTAATAATATATAGGTAATATACGATTATCATGAATCTGAATTTAATATTAATAACTAATTCCAAAACTTTTAGAATATTTATAATAACATAATAATTTTAATTATTTTGCTAATATATATATATAATATTATATTATACCATTAGGTAACTAAACATTAGTATGTGTTTAAAACTATTTATTTTTTTTTGTATCTAAATTTTATCAAAATTGAATTACAAAAACAAAATTATTCCCTAGGTCCACATGTACGTGCTGCTGGAATTTTAATACTATTATTAATATTATTATTAATATTATTAATAATAAAATTAATTTTTGGATTAAGTAAAAAAATACTGGAAGTTTACCCTGAGTTCTCCCATGTATTGTCTACAATCGGTTGGTTTTGCGTTGGTTGGAAAAAATTCGCAGCATTTTTAGCTGATTCCCTTGACAAAGAAATTCGTGTACGTATTGGTTGTAATTATTTTTATTAAATTCATGAAAGTTAACAACTAACTATAACTAATATAATATCTTATTTGATTTAGGAAGACGAAACGTCTTGTAATGCTTGTCGAAAAGGTGAAATCGACAGTTTAAAAGGAACCGTTGAAAACCAAAAAATAGAAAAAAATAGAACTGAAGCTGAAAAACACGTATTACAAGCAAAACGGGAGAATTTTCTATTCAAGTGGAAACTATTGTTGGAACTAAGTGGGAAGCTGTTTATCGTGAAGGAGCCTACAAAGGGGTATTTTATTGTAAAAAAAGTCTTATTATAATATAGTATTATAATATTTTATCCATTCAAAGGTAAAAAGACGTTTGGATTATCATGTGGCTTTGGCTGACTTGACACACACGGTACAACATAAAACTATGGTCAACTGGATCATTGAAAAATAAAAATTAAAAAATAAATTTATAAATTGGTTTTAAAAAAAATGTATATAATAATAAAATGTGTATAAAATAAAATAAATAAATAAATAATAAATCGAAGTTGTCGTTTTGTATTTGCTAATTTAGATTTTGGTCTTTGATTTACAGATAGGTACAATCAACTAAATTTTAACTATAAATATGAATAATGTCATACTTGAAATACATTTTAGGATATAATAGAATAAACATATTATAGTGATATAATCATTAAACATATAATATTAATATATAATAGTCCTAACACAGTAACACATGATATACAAATATATTAACATTAAAAATAGTGTATAATATTATAATTATTATTAAACAATACACATATTAAGTATTATACCTATAGGTAATTTATAAAAAATTAAATCTGTAGGTACCTATAGAAGTATAGATGTACATGCAATTAGTTAAGTATGTATAATATTGTAGTTTGGCAATCTAACTATATACATAATTATTATTTATAGTCACTAGTCTAGTAGGTATATATACACAGGGGCGGATTGGCGAATTTTTTCGGCCCGGGAAATATGGATCAAACCGGCCCTGCACCGCAAATGTAACCCCCCACCAAAAAAAAAATTTTCATCATTTTACTCACATTTCAAAATTTGTTTAGTTTCACCCATAAATTAGTAAAATATATAATAGGTACCTATAATTAAAGTTATAACAGTTTAGGGTTAGTCAGATAAGGTTAACCTGTTCTAACTCGAACTTGAAGTTTGATCTTATTACATTTTAGATTCTGAGCGAAGTGATGAATGTATTGATTTTACAATGTGTTTTTTTTAATTTTTTAATTTTAATTTAATTTTTTATTTTTGGGTCTGTCATCAAATTTTAGGACAGTAAAAATAGTAAATACTTAGATTTTCTTCAACTAGATTCACTTTTATGATAGGAAAGTTAATCTAGTTGGTACTTTGGGGGGTCAAAAATAAAAATGTCCTGGTGGTTTTCAAAAGTGCCGTGATAAACAAAAGAAAAATTAAGTAAATCGGGGAATTTTTACGCAAAATCTGTTTTCGAGAAAATCGATTTTGGTTTTTGAAGCAACTCCATAATAAATATGACTATATAGGTACACGAAATGTTGACCGAATGTTTATATTAGTATTTTCCATACACCATAACATTTTGACTTACTTTGAGCTGTTTACGGACATTTTCAGTTTTTTTTTTCTATAAATATCAATAAAATTTTATTTGTTGGTTAAAAAGCTTGAAAATGTAATAACAATCTCCTAGTATATTGTTTCAAAGGCAGATGAAAAAAATTAAAAATCCAGTCACAATTTTTTTCTATAAGCATTTAAAGTTCAAATATTGACAAAATACGTAAAAATAACGAAAGTTTGCAAATTATTTTGAGTTATAAATTTGTAAACAAATTTTAAAACACATTTTTAATACAAAATTCCTCATAAGTTTGTCTACCTTTATCAAAAAAAAAATGTCAACAAGAAAGTCAAATTACATTTTTATGACCTTCTGAAATTCAAATTTTTACAACATTTGATATTCACTCGATTTCTCATGTAATGATTTTCTTATTTTGTTGTGATTAAAAAACGAATGACTGTAAAATGTAGATACTTGAAAATTTCACTGAATATTTATATTTTCTACATAAATCTACCTAAGATGTATAAATACTGCTTTGGTACATAAAGACAATTATAACATCTAAATGTTTAAATTAAATAAATATAGGTATATAAATAATTACCAGTTGACATATTTTGCATTGAACTAAATGTTTCTAATAATTTTTTGCTTTCACAATCTCTTACTCTCTCTTTCAAAATGTTAATTAAATTATCCATATTCTCTTCAAAAACAGTTTTGAAATTTGTGTAATCGCTAAACACATTTTGAAAATCTATATCAACCTAAAATGAAATAGACAGTAACTTTTATTTTTTTTATTGGAATAAACAATAATACCAATCATGTGTTTTAATATACCATCAAAATAATAATATTATAGACATACAAGAATTTATACAATTAAACTAGACAATTTTTAATTTTTTTGTAATTTTCAGTATTTTTAATTATAGGAGTTTTACACTAAGTACAACTGAAAATATATTTAGTAGGTACCTAAATTATAAAATGTAATAATGTATACATAATTTCCTACCTATATTGTATAAAATCCATTAATCCATAAAAATATATATTTTTTTTAGTTTAATTATTTTAGTAAGGACAATATTAATAAAACTGTTGTAGGAGTCTGTTACAGTTGTATTATGAATAATACATTTATTTTCAAATGCGTATAAATTATAAATGCAGTATAAAATTATATAGTGATCATTGCAATGTAGAAGTAGGCAACTAGAATACATAATTAAACAAAGGTGAGGCCTTAGAGAAAAAATACTTATTTTCATAGAATATCTATGAACTTATTAAATAATATTTCAGACTTACAAGTTTATAACCCATTGGTTAGGTTAG